TTTCGCCCTCGACATATCATAAAGTTCAAAGGATATTCGTCGATAAACAAACTATATAGAAAAGGGAAATTTTATTTACTTCTTTTACCCAAACTGTCTGCAATTGAGTGCCGCACAGTTTAAAATATACAATACACTCAATGGCTTTGGCTCTCTGCTCAGCGAATTGGAGTTGAGAGGAAAACAATTTTTACGAGACATTCATCCCCTCAGAGAATTGTAACCAACATAGTTTCTCCGTACTTTATGCACATTTTCGCAAATGTACATCTCGAAATGTGCGAGGGATGCAAAGTGTATTCCGGTCGAACCACACATGAAATGTGGTTTGGGAGATAAATTTTCAAATTAAAATGTGATTGCTATCAGTTTCACTGATTTGATTCTCCATCATGTCTTGCCGGAGGAGTGAAGGAACCATCAGGACTTTTGCAAGAGTAAATACATTACACAATGTGAAATCCAATTGAATAATGCAAATATCCTCCAGAGAAAACACAGTGAATATCGAAATGAAAATGTTCTATCTTCGTGAAAGAAATTTGTGAAGAAACTTTTCGGACTCTTCATCACTCAAGATTATGTTGAAGTTTATAACAATTTTAATGAGAAACAGTCTTGAGCAAAGCAACGGAGAGAATGCAGAAATTCAGACGAATTAAATTATTATACGAAATAGATTAAGAAAATATTCTGAATATCAAAGTTTTCATCATAGAAAACTTAACGATGACTCTGCAAGAAGCAAAAAAATGATTATTTTATAATAACATCTGTTTATTGAAATTTATTAAGAATTGCGCGTAATGAAAATTCAACCAGGTTGACATAAACTTTCTCTCTCTCTCTCTCCCTCCCTCAAAATTGGTTCAGAGTGTTGTGCATCCTTTAAAGCACCCAACTTAAATTTCACCCGAGTTCCTCTCTCAATTTCAATTTGAGGTGCAATTTTTCTGTGGATTAAATTTTTGGTGCACCCCAACTGAGGCAACCCCTCGAGTATAGTGTTGGGATAAGGAGCAATCTTGGGTGGAAAATTCTGCTGTGTCGGTGTCTGAAGGGTGAAAAGCTTCATGGTGGAAAATTCCCAATCCGCATCACAACTTCCCCAACTCTCCAGCCTTTGTAGCACCCCAAACAGTGTAAAAGTTAATAAGATAGCATAGCAAATTGATTGATGAAAATTCGCTTTCAAGTATGCGATGTAATAAAGAATCAAATGGTGTAATTTTTCACTAAAGAATTTCATGGAAAATTCCACCTCATCCCAATTCGCAGCAAACTTTCGCTGTACCCGAGGAGATTTTACTTCTTTGGCACATATAAAATCGGAGAAAGTGAGATTTCTTATTCCACCCTGTCTCTCCGTTGCTGGGTATTAATTTATTATGAGATACAAAACCACAATGATATGTATATTTGCTCAGTGTGTTGTCTCAACAATGGGTGAAAACATGGTGAATTGTACATGTTTTTGCTTCTGCGAATGAGAGAAATTTTACGATTACGCCAACACAGCTTCTTCCCTCACGCCACCAGCCACCCCAACATCTTCGTCAACTATGCGTGCTTCGTCCCCCTCAAAATCCTCACCTCAGCCATGAAATTCCCGTCTGTAATTCATGAAATATTCAGATAGTGTTCTAAAAAGCGTGTACCGAACGTGTGCAGGGCATTTTCTCATGGATTGCAATTTCGTGGCGGTATCTCTATCTCCTGCGGAGGATAAATTTGATTTGACAGGCGCGTCGACAGACACGAAAGGTGCTCTCTTCTCTCTCATTCTGCACACCCCAAACGCCGAATCGAGGGACCGCAGAGTTATAAGCAAAGGGTTGAGCAAGATTAGTGGAGAGTGATGAATTTTGATCCGAAGAGAGCATTGAGGAATTACAGTAACATCCCGACAGAGTTGGAAGAGAGACTTTGGGAGGGATTGAGCGCATTAAGAGCTGTGTAAGGAATATAGTACAGCATGCGAGGCATTAGACTGACAGATCTTTGACAGTTTCCGAACGCTGGAGAAGTGTAAGAAATCGCGTGAAAATGTGAGTAAGTCTCTCAAAATGCATCCCTAAACAGAGGCTTGATGCTGTGTCAGCTGGGATAGAATGATCTCATATTGAGCCCGCATAATATCCACAATAAATCCTTTCGTTTGCCAGTAGACAACATTGCATATCATAGCAATAATGTATCGTTATATTTAGTCGTGAGAATTCACGATAGTTCATGACGAGCAGGAAAGCGATTAAGGTGCATTTTGAGCCTCTCTGCGCATTAATTTCCTGTCAAATAGATTCATGAGGATAATTAAATAGGAATTTATGCACTGCAAGGCGATTCACACCTTCGATGATGAATTATATACGACGAGAGATGCCACAGTGAGACTAGGACGATTATCACTGTTGTCTGAACATATTAATTCCACTTAGACTTCCTCTCGAATGGCCACAGAGTGCATGAGTCATATGCCATGGGGCGCTGTGTGTGCGATGTTTTAAGTAAACAAAATTATGCTAGCTGATAAAATCAATTTCTGGCACTCGCACTTGCGAAAATAGCGCATTTCTCCACTGGTCCGCCGTATGACAAGCATAAATACATAATTCAATTCATTGCACATTGCACACAAACTCCCATTAATTTTCACATTATGTACAGAAAGTGTGTGTCCGTCGACACCCTCATAATTGCACCGTGAGTTACTCAACTCTCTGATCACGTCTAAATTGGTTGGGACGCATATGAATGTGTACTCAATAAACCGACCAGACAGGGTGAAAATTAAGAATGTTCCAGCAAGCAAAGAGGGTTGATTTCTCGTGCAACAAGTTGAAAAATAAATTATGTGTCGAATGAAATGAAATTGGTGAAAGTTCTCAACTTGTATTTCGACAAAATTTTACAAAATTCCCATGAAAGCACTTTTTCAATGCAATCTACGTAGCATTTATTAGATTTCAAATCCAGTAGTTGCTTATTAATCTAGCTATTAATAAGAGTGAGTCAGTTTGATTGCTCTTTTTGCAATAAATGAGCTTTCATTGATGAAATTCCCAGAACACTCCGACATCAAATCACCGGCAATCTTTATTTATTGTGCGAAATTGGCGTTTATTCAATATTCCCTCTCGGAATAAGCACCATTATGTGTCCCTTTTGATACCCCATCGGCGCGCAGATCAGCGCGGACTCTTCAGGTTCAGCATTTCTGGTAAAAAGGGTTGCATGGAATCGAACATTGTATTTATGTTTATTTTAAATCGGTATCACAATACGATTAAGTATGTTCGTGTTTTTCCTTTTTTCCTTTGCGTCCCGTTCTGTGTTTGCTTTCAATTTCAAAGTTTAATTAAACCCCTCTTTTTGCAGCGCCAAGGGGTGAAGAACCCATGTGAACTTTTTCACCTTCGCATTATATTGAGCTGGAGCGAAATGATGGTTCTGTGCATCGTGCGCTGCGTTGGAGTATTTTTGCCATTTGTTTTATATAATTTTTCCCACAGAATATGTTGTGAAAGTGAAATAAATATTTCAGAGAGTGTGCAAAATCAATATTATCGCAATCTTTGCATAACTGGCGATGTTTTCAATATTAACATCTCAGTGATTTATTTATTGCCATTGGCGGAATTTTGCATAATAGACGAGGACCTGAAGCAGCATTTGCCACCACCACCACAGCGTGTGGGGTTTATCTCCAGCTCTTGGGGTTACGATAAGGCCATTGTGGACAGAGCTAACAAATCAAATGGAGAAGGGCTTCACAGATATGAGGCGCAGCTATCATAATTCTAAAATAAATCACCTTGGGCTTTTCTATATAAATTTTCCGGATGATGGGCCAAGTGTGGGGGCTGCGCCACCCGGAATGCTCCCCCATTTACGACCCCGAAGCCTGTGTGTGGAGTCTCGTGATTGCCACAATAATTGACTCAGGGTTTTAGTCCTTTTATCCATACAATACCAATTTTGTGGTGCAATTAGAGCATAAGAAATTGCTATAGTCATGTTATTGCTGTAGATTTCTCCTTGGCGGGAAATTGTTTGGGATACCCTCATTGAAAGGAGAGAGGAAGATATTGCTCCGCTCCCAAATGTAAAGGATTCGCCATGGTATTTATTTGTTTACTGCCACAAAGGCTTCCTCAGAGAGTCCTCCAAGGGCCCCATCGACATTCTCTCGCCCGCCCCTCTTGAACATAAAGCCCCCCGATAATTGTGTGTTTGGTGCGTTAAATTGGAAAATCTACAATAATTCCATAACCATTATTGGGCCCCTGAAACTGCCGTTTCCGTTGAATTATCGATCAATTCCAGGAGATAAGCCCCCAAAGAGATCCACCAGTACAATTTCCACAGCCTCGATAAAAGTCCCTTCCGATACGTTTGGGGACTCGTTGTTAAGTTGACGTCGCTGAATTTGCAAAACTTTTCCACCCTTCAACACTTGAGAGACCAACAAAGTTGTCTTTCACACATTCGCTCTCACGCCCCGCACACTTTTTCCTACAATTGAAAAGTGTTGATTTGAAGAGAAAACTTCATGAATTAGCACTGTCTTGAGTGAAGTTATAAAGTGACAAAAGGGTGACTCTCTCAAGCACCTCCACGATTCACGATTTTCCATCTCGTGGCATCCGCAGGGAAGCCCAACAAATAAATTGTCATCGATTAAACTCACGCAAGGCGAAGCGGTGGAGAGTCATGAGGAGGAGATGGAAGAAGAAATTGGCGTTTCCCTTTATTTAATACTTTTGGCGCGACATTTTTCTCCGCTCCAAAGCCATTTTTATGTTCTTAACATATCTTAACGGATCAGAATGTCTTATCCATGAGAAATTTGGCTCTTTTAGGGCACCCCCACTTTCGTGTCTTGAGATTTTCAGCCACCCACAACACTGAACAATTGCTTCTGGGAAAATGGCACGATAAGCATTTCTCGCTCATAACTGTTGAGATTTCACAGGATGCGCAGTAAAAGGTAATTGAGCTGGAAAATCATTTTATATTTGCTTCTTTTGAATACGAGGCCAAAAAATTTAAGCAAGACATTTATGCAGACAAAAAGTACAAAAAATAACAAGAATAATTTATCTTATAACCTACATATGAACGTGAAAATAGCAATCATAGATTTATGTATGTAACTTAAACTTTAACTCTAACTTATCATTTTTAGGCGCCTAAAAATATTCAGTAACTAAATCCTTATCATCTTAAGTTAATTTTAATACTACTTTACACACAGAAGAAACATAAAAATAAAAGCGCTTTCACAAACAGGTGATCTTACTGGGAGAGCATAGTGGACATTGATAAAGTGATTAGATTAAAAAGTTTTTAAGGGCTTTCAGCACCCGCTGTCGTCCAATCTTATTCCACAACACATGTGGCCGATTACTCCCGCTCATGTACTTGGCGTCCGCCTGATAGCAAGAAAACAAAATCTTACCATTCTGCGTCATGTGGCTGCAGATATCTACGCAATTCTCCTGCTGGATCAGGAACGCGTTCAGGACTTCCCAGTTCCTCTTCAGGCTGCCCAAGTAGCTGTGATTCACTATTGGTGGGAGCGTCGTGATGATCACCTCAATCCCCTTGTTCTTCAGCATGCGCAGCAGACGATTGTAGTCATTTATGATGTCCAGGGCGTCGCGCCCGTGCAGGAGATCCACGGTGCCGAGATTGAGGATCACGCGCTTGTCCGGAGAGTACAACATGCGGTCGAAGGCAGCTTGAATTGTCTGTCCGGAGACGCACATTCCGGATTGATGAATGCGGTGACCTGGTTTCCGGCCAAAGCCCATCTCAAGTCGGGCCATTTCGAGGAAGAAGTCATCTCCAATCAGCGTGTATCCGCCAAGATGAGGATTCTCCTGGAATTCCCGGAAAAAGATAAACTTTAGCAACAATCCTTTGCCCAAGAAAGCGTCTCTCTAACCTGACTGTCTCTACTGATCATCGTGCTGTTCTGCCTCGGAAGGAAATCGGCTACCTTTTTGGCCTTGTACGGATGCCACATGTTTCTTCGACGATTGCTGCCCTTGTTGCTCTTGGCATTGGCAATAAGACGCCGCATGTGGATTGTTTTCTTGGAGGATGTCATCCAATATATGTTCCCGTAGAAGTCTCTCCTGAAGGACACATCGCTGAGGTTGGCCATCAAGTGGAAAAACTCAACAAATGAGCAATTGAGGGGCTCCTTCACTTGCTCTTGAAAGTCATCTGCAATGGCGGCACAAGAGATATTGCGTAATCACCGCAATTGCTCAAAATTCAATGTCTTTTTCTTACCACAAATTGTTGGGAAATCTGCACCAGTAGTGTGCAAAGCAAGGACGCTCTTGATTAAAATGATTTTCTCGTGAAGATGCATGTTGAATGATCACTTTTCACTGCTCTTTACCCAGTTTTTCACCACAAAGACGACAAAACAACTAATCTCCTCACAAACTTTGAGAGAAACTGTTCTTCATTATTCAGCGAAGAGAGACGAAAGACGCACGAGAGATCGCGATCAGCAATTTATTATCCAACTTTATCCAAGATTTGAGGGTCTGGGAATTTGAAAAGTCTATGTTTTAAACTCGGTTTACCTTCGTGTGAAAAACAGGAAAAAAATTTATATATATATTTATTGTTTTCCTTTTTATACCACTAAACCTACTAAACCAGATCGTTGAGTCTGAAAATCAAAGAGTTTTTACTCAGAAGTAATTTGAGAAAACATTTGCAATCAATTTTGCAAAATTGGTGCTGAATTAAAACGTGAATATGAAACATAATAATATCAATTTTCTTATCAGGATCTGCTTGATAAAATCCTTTCACTCCCGCTTGCAATATCCGTGGCATCTTGTACTCATCGTGCTACCTAATATTCCTCTTCATTGTGCTCTTTCATGTGTTCACTGCGAATCCAGGGGGTTGTTGCAAATATAAAATATACGTAGAGAAGGGAACAAGAACGAGGGACACATTTTACCATTTGAAAATATAAATCACATCAACTTAACAGGCGGCTTATCTAATCGATTTTTAAACAAAGACTGGCGTGTTTTCTCTCTGGATTGAGAGAATGTTGCTGCTTTCAGCAGAAATCACAGACGAGACTTTCAGAGCTTTCAAGGGACTCTCAATTGCCTGTCTGGCAGCTCAAAGTCAAGTCAGGGAGGGTCTTTTCAGGGAGAACAGAGCGCTCACATCTCCCTTTGAAGCATTTTAATTGGCGTACATGTCAATAAGAGAGTATATTGAAAAGAAAATTTTTGTGGAAAAGTATCCTCATGCTTCCCTCCCCGGTCTAAACGTGTCAATATTGAATTACTTTCTGCATTACGCCTTTCATGATGCACTGAATTCCATTATAGGTGCATTATCACTACTAAAAGCATCAATTAACTGCAATATTAATGGGAGAACATTGGAACACTTATAGTTTCCAGAGATGGAGACTTTTAGGAAGGACTCTTCTGGGGACTCTGTTGGGGAATTTACTCCAAGGCGATCGGCATTTTGTCTCTGAGAAGGAATGTCCGTCCAGAACAAGATATCAAAGAGCAATTTGGCCATGTAAATACCATAAGATGAGAGGCCGAAATGCTTCTTTGCGTGCCTGATTGATTCCGAACTGTCACTAATTTTCTCTCACTCTCTCAAATATTCCAGTATCAAATTCATCAATGCGACGAGGACAAAAAGCACAATTTCCTGCTCGACTTTTTGCCCTCGTCATCTCAATATTGTCGGCGTTCCCGAATTCGTGAATGTTTGGCCATAATTATTGATTGTTCCAACAATTCAAACGTGAATACGACTCACCGTGAAATATTGGATTCGTTCCGGCCACGATCACTCCGCACTTGATTTTCAGAGGCAGTGCCAGAGCGAGTTCCGGGGAGGGAAGGAGTTCGTCATCGATTAGTTTCTGTTGCGATACATCCCTGATAAAAAGTCCATTGTGAAGGGGTGTGCGCTCACGGAACATTTTCCATATGGTACGCAAAGAGGCGAAGGAAAATGAAATTTTTCGGAAAAAGAGACACTTTTTTTCCATATCGGATATTGTACATCGATTGCCAGTTCATGGCAAAACTCCTCTACGGCGATGCCGAAGCGCGGAAGTTTGAAATTGAAACACTCGTTAGATTGTATGATGGGAGAAAATTGCAGATTGTTCCACCCTTTTTGGAGTTATTTTTTGCTACGCCATCCATTTGTACCTCTTTGCATTCTTCGCTCGTCTACCAAACACTCAATTTCACTCCACAATCAGCGATTCCCTGGATTTTCAAAGGCATACGCACACCTGAATGTCTGCTGATTTCACTCTTTTATGCCCTCGAATCGGGAGTTCTTTTCAGAGATAAAAATATGCATCTCAAGAGCTCTTTACGCAACGGCCGCCAATCTTCTCCAATTATAATGCAAAGTGATTGTGAACAGGTGCATCGCGGAGACACTACAATTAACATTCCCAAGCCAGCCATGTGACATTCTCGAGGCTCACAAGAGACTCGTCTATCGCCCGTGGAATTTCTATACGCTGCGGCTTTCAAAATACCAACTTACGTGATGTATTGATTAGGCTATCCAATAGCCACAACACATTCTCTGCTCAGGCACACTTCACAAAGACGCTGTCCGGTCTTTTGTGGTGGAATTTGGGACAAATTGTCTTGCTGAAGATCGCGTCTTTGTTGCACTCAGGAAAAGGTGGAGTTGAGCTAAATTTAACACTGAAAATTCAAACAATAAAGTCTATTATGTGAAATCAGTTCCAAGTATTCTGTTATTATGAGGACGTGGAAAATTCATAAAAAAAAATTCCATCCAAAACATGGTCAGACGACAAGTTGAAATTCTCCATTCTGCGAAATTATATATTATCATGCCTTTGATCCAACATCACACAAGGCAAGCAGGCGTATATATTTTGCATTATAAATGTCTGAGCTTTCAGGATATTCCTTCTTCTGGCGTGTAATCTGCGAAAAAAAATCCATGGCCGTGTGCTTTCTATACAAGGCAATTATGCTCTTTTTTGCTACGATATAATTTGTGAATATTCATGCTATTCAGCTCGGTTTGCCTGTGTGAAATGTCTGTGTGGCGCGGCAATACCAGAAGCGACTGCGAAAGCTCAGTAAATAAAAAGTCCATTAACTAAATTATCTTCTAATTGAAATTTACAGAATTATAGTTCCATGTACATATGCGCGCGTGAATACATAATGGGCATAAATCACAGCGGGGCTTTAAAAGCTATCAGCGCATATGAGAAAGCTCAGCGCTGTTGTCCTGCTCGTGGTCCAATATTAATAATTGAATACGCGAATATATTTTCCAAATTAATTTCATGCTGTTTCTACTCATTCGACGACACGAGAGTTGCACAGCTGAAATACTCGCACATCATGCTGTGTGCATGCAAATACAAGGAGGGCAATTTGTTGCCATCAACGAATTGTGTGCAATGCATCATTTCTTAGCGTGGAGACACCTTCAACTTCTGCGGCCGCGGAGGGGATTTGTTTCGTCATTCATGAAGTGTGAAGCCTCTGAGACTGCGAAGATCGCAGATGAAGTGCTGGTGGAGTAACAAATGTTACCAATTAGAGACTCCACTCGCTGTCATAGGACACTGATCTCATAATTCCGCGCGACCGTAATCTCTCTTAAACAGCCAATGTGACAAGTTGTAAATTTGTCGACAACATTCACTATATGTGGGCTCCCTTTAAGACTATTTTTGGCCAATGCATCTGAGCCTCTGCGGTGACACTCTCTCGTCACGAGATTTACCCCTTTTTCTCAAGCCAATGTCTTGCAGCATTACAAGAGTACTTAATCATCTTTCGTATTTACACACTGTCGTTTTCTCCAACATGCGAACATGTGACTTTGAAGACAGAAATAATTTTTCCGACTCTCTTAATTGTCGAAATTTCTCTTCGTCTAATCAAGATTTGTGACATTATTTTTAAATAGAATTCTTCTATAAACAAATAAAAGGGAAAAATCACCTTTTTATGGTTGACTTTAAGAAATACGTGCAATTGTTGAGTAACGGCAAGCAATTAGCGATTGACAACGACGAAAATATATTCAAGTGAGAAAACGGAGAAGCAGCATTGAGTTGGTGAACTTATGGCAAAGACAAGTGCAGGGGCAAGTGTCAGGAGCAGAGCTGCGGTATTGCGGTTCATCAAGGAGTGTATAGAGTCCTCATACCTTTATATCATTCTGGTTGCCGAGACGTCGCTCCCTTTGGGCGAGAATATAATTATGCTTTCAAAAATGAATGGAATCAGCTGTACTGAATTAAAATATCTAAAACTCACCCTTTTCCAACGCCATGGCAACGAAGTGATTCCTTTCTCGAGACTCCCTGCCAGAGGTAAGAATGAAGGCTTCTCTGGCAAATTGAATGTGATCCTGAATCTAAAATTAATTCATGATGAGCAAGATGCCTTTAATGAAATACAAATTGATTGTTGAGTCTCCACCGGGCGTGAACAAAGAACAACCATGAACTTGAGAGATGCTTTTCATGCCAGAAATGGGAAAGTAAATAAAAGTGGTAATATGATTTCCCTGTCCATCAGCGGAAACTTTGGCCCAAAATAATGGGCACGAAACATTCCAATGGGAAAGTGTGATGCAATTATTATTGTTCTCGAAACATGTGCTATTCACTGGAAACTTTTGCAATTCATTTCAACAAATGTTTCCCACATATAGACAGGAATTTTCACATAGAAAATACACAACATTTCGAGAGGGTGTGAGAGACGAAATTTCAAAAATGCACCAACAATGTACAATTTCCACTCTATCAAGTTCAACAAAAATAACTCTTGCTCACTATAAACTCTATTCTTGTACTTGTCCAAAAATTTCCCCTCTCTCTCTCTCTCTCTCTCTCTCTCTCTGCATCTGAAGTATGTTGAAATTGTTCAAAGGTACTCTTGCTGATTGTTTTCACTTTGATATGCGAATTTCCCTCTATATTTTTCCGCAGTCCTTTTGGAACTGAGCGGAAAAGGTGAAGTTTGGTAAATGTATTTGCGGAAAGAAACGCAAATTCCTTTATACAAAATAGACAGACTGAGTGACTGTGAAGTGAGGTGGCTTTGAAAGACTGGGAAGAAGCACGTGTTGGCTCCGAATCGATTATAACTTGACCTCTGTAATCCTTCTGCATCAACGACCACTTGTGTCGAAGCATTTAGCCGGAATCACATCATCTGAGCAACACTGACCACTTCACTCCTTGTGAATAATATAGCGTCTTGAGAGTCTCAACTTCCGCTCGTGGGGTTCGCCATATTCCGCTGAGGAATCAAAACCCTGCATTAATAATCGGGTTACAAACAATAATGGAGATGAATTATGAATTCGTGGTCAATTATAGGGCTGCCCGTGGATGAAATCCTCTCGGGAATGTTTTCCATTTTAATACAATGGAGACATTAAATATTTGTGCTAATTTCTCATTTCGACCGGATATTGGTGTAAAGTGCGGGAAATTGCGTATTGCTCAATTGAAATATGTGCGTTCGTCATTGCGATTTTGCGTGGCCGAATAAAATTCCATTCGGCTGTGGCGTGTGCAGCACAGCCAGGATATAGAATGGTAATTATTTATGAGCAGAAATGTCAGAACTGGCGGCAGTTCGTATGTGCCATAATTTTTGTGTGGAGATGCGAAATGAGGGGAGCCAGAGACGGCGACCCTGATAGGGAAATGAATGTTTCATTTGCGCGCTTGTCAGAAAGGAAAGAAATAAATGTAATTATCATACATACTGGCAATGTGGGGTGTATCATGGGGGTGGGCGGAGTGCCAATGGAATGTGGTACACATGGTGTATATGGTGAAAATTTCCCCGTGAAAAGTGGCTCGGGCGTTAGAAAAAGGTGGTATGAAATTGAAGTTTGCAGCAAATTGCATGCCACTTGCACATATTTTAGCGATGAAAAATGTTTTGGGAAATCAGTTAAACGCGCCGCTCTCCAGTTCTTGCAGGGTTCAATTACGCTAAGTTGCTATCGAGTGGCCTGAAGTCGGCGGAACGAGCCAAGCTCGCATCAACTTTCAATTCAATTAATCATGGGGAGTCCTTCTTCTGGAGCACTCAGCGAATAATCCAGATTGATTATTGAGACGGAAATGTGGACAGCGAAGATCTCAATTGATGGTCTCGAAATTATGCGGAGAAGACAGATATTCTTTCAATCTTGATGAATTACTTCGATTTTATTTGAATACACGGCTCGGCTGTTGGCAGTCTCATTGCGGCAGAGTTTTTTCTTCTGAAAAATCTCAGAGGCATACTTAAAGTCGAAAACCACTGGCGACAAAACCGAATGTGAGTGAAGATTTCTCTAAATAATCTTCACGACTTTTTAATGATAAGCAGAAAGCGATGTTTTTGCCAGACAGCGAACTATTTTAGGTGTTGGAATATGATTCGATGAGCCAGTATTTATAAGGGATCTCGGAAGATTCAATATCTTCAAGAAAAAACGAGATAATCGGAAAAGGAGTTGTATTCTGCTACGAAAAATTGTGATCTTCAAGATGAAATAAAAGTTGGGTAACTTTTTCTCTTGCTAAGTTTGAAGGATGTAATAGATTTTGATTAGATGTGTAAATAAATAGGAATAATTGATAAATTGAGTTTAATCTCAATCCACTTGCTGAATCCTTAACCTACCTCACTAAATTCGTCTCTTTGACTGCTGCGGGCGTCCCAAAATTGCTTTTGCAATTCAATTTATAGTAAAACCACATCGTCCATGTTATTTATTAAAACGTTTAATAACAAATTTACTTTAACGAAATACTTTAACAAATTTATTAAAAATTACATTTACTTTGGCAGAGCGATTTGCTAACAGATCCAATTTAGCCAACACACGGGCACGACAAAGAAGGATGAGGCGAAAACCAAGGTAGCCGGAGGGATGTTTGTAAATCAACATCAATTAAATCGCTACTCGTCAGCGGGCTGCAAATTGCTACCTGAAGGGGATTGACTCGTTGATGAGATCCACAGCCCGGAACTTGGCTGCGTCGTTCTCCAGCGAGTCTGAGATGCACTCCTTCAGCGTCTTGCCGTTGCAGGCCTCCGTGAAGGAGCACGTCTGATCCAGGGATGAAGTGGCGACTTGGCCGAAGCGCAGGGGACTCGTGGGATGGACCAGAGCCTTGGTGCTGCTGCCAGAGGCGCTGGGCAGACTCTCCGCCGAACTGGCGGAGCAGCCAAAGTCCCGCCCGAAGCCCTGGGAGTCCAGAAAAGGGACATGACTGACGAATTTGGCGTTGTCTTTGGCGCTGTTAACTGAGCCTCGCTTCGCGAACATAAACATTTCGTTGGGCATCTGTGGCTTCTGCGGCTGAATCTGATGAATCACCGCTCGCTGGCTCACCGTGGCCGATTTCTGAGGCATGGACATCTTCTTCATCTTGCCCATGGCACCGGCCATCCGGGGGTCCAGCTCGTCCTCGTAGTCGGACGAGGGGCTGGGCGTGAGGGACAGAGACTCCTCAAATCGATTTATGTAATTGCTACCCGTGCCAATCTGCAAGCATGCAAATGGGATTCCGTGGCTCAATGGTGTCATTTCCATATCCCATAAAGAAAAAAAGGCCTTACCGAGACAGAACTCAGCCTCGACGTGACACTTTGGATGTCGGACACGGAACTGGAATAGTCGCCGTTCTCACGTTCACGCAATCTCGTCACGGCTCCGGGCTGACGGCTGTATCGGCGGGAATGGCCATTGCGATGGGGCAGGGAAATGTCTCCGGCTGACCTCAGGGATATCACACCGGCCTCGTCCGCTGACTGAGGGCTGAAGAACACTTGGTCATCCTGGAGAGAGAGAGAGAGAGAGTGGCGAAATGGCATCACGTAGGGGCCATAATCGGGGGGTCGAACAACTAAATAAATAGACTCGGAGGTGGGATTTGTTTGCACGACCAATTCCGCTCGTTGGAATTGAGCAGGTGATTCAGTACTTTCGCGACGACAATTGCATGTCAGACTGTTGGACTTTTGTGCTAAGAGTGTTGGCAAATATTTGGAAAATGTCGTGTCATTCATGCTGCAATTCAACCCTTTTGTGCAGCTTCAAAGTTCTCTGGGATCTTGAGTGGAATTACTTGAGAATAAAGACTTTACTTGAAATTGTTCTATATTGCGAAAGAATTTCATAAATAAATAATGAGCAGAAAGACACTTTATCCGAAGGGAAGTGAGGAAAATAGATTTTTCCGAACTGGTAAAGTAATTAATAATGTGCAAAAACTATTTTGTCTGAATTTTCCTCACAGGAAAGTTTGAGAGAAAACGAATCAAACACTCATTATAAGTCAAAACTTTGATTTACCTGCAAGAGTTTAACACAAGATTTAATTTGATAACTTTTTATGTTCTTGAATCTTCTGGAAAGTTTACTATAACGCTTGGGATTCAGGATTGACTACTCAAGAAGGTGACTGTGCAAAAAATTATCTAGATTGATCCTCTAATTCTGTAGATAAACACTACTGACTCACCTGCATGTGATCCAGCTGACCAGCTTCAGCGCGGCGCGACATGAGAAATTCATCCGTGTCATTGGCATAGAGCGGTTCGTCGTACCACTGGCGCGGGAGTCTGGCCGCCAGTGACGGATGCGTCCCCACGAAGGCTCCTCTGGCGGCGTCATCGTACATGTATGTGGAGTCTGAATGGAGAACGCGGAGGGGGTTTTAGTGCAGGGAAGACTCACAATACAGTCGGACGTAATATGATAGCGTGCAGTTTTGAATTGAAATAAAAGAGAGAAAGAGTGCAAACTGTCTCCCAGGGAGAAGATATCAGTCGGATGGAGGAACAAAGGGCACACCCGAAGAATGAGAATTAGGTCCATCACGTTGCATTACGTGAAATTTGATGCAACGGCGAATGGCAGCCAAGGGAAATTAGCGAACAGATGAACATATGCAGTCTGAATCAGTCTCAATTGCACAATTCCTTGCGATGGCTTTTGTGAAAACTTGCAAACTTCTTTTTCTCCCTCTCAGCCATTGGACTGAAAAGTGTTCCCCAGCGAGTCGTTAGAAACAAGGATTCTTTCTTTATTCTGTTGGTTTAATTTGTAATATTGACACTACAAATTCACTTTAACATAGCGACAATACAGCGAAAATGTGTTTCTATTCCCAAAACTCCAGTCCCCTCAAGTCAGTGGCAATTCTTGAAAAAATACTTGCATTTCCCCTTAGTGAAAATGTCTGAGGAAAAATCACAAACCGAAGTGAAATAAACATTTCAAATGGGAGACAGAGAGGAGATTATCACTCTGCTTTCAATCAAAACAATTTATTTTTGCCACTCAAGTGAAAACACGAGAAGGAATTTGCATAGCAATTAAGACTTCTTTCTCTTCCGTTTTTTCACGCCACGCTTCACATCAAATACAGTCCAATATTGTTCCTTCGCTGATTGAATAATAATGGGCAGGGAGGCGAAATAAATTACCTGGATGGCCGTTTCTACTCATTTGCTGGAGTCCTCGCTGGATGTCGCGCAGAATCTGAAATGAATGCAAATGACTAAATTATCACTGAATTATCTTTCCATTTGACGTCCATTCATCTTCTCCATGCGACAGTTTTTCCTCGGGTCTCAATAGATCTGCGTGTCTCTGAGTTGCTGCCGACAAAGTATTGTAATTGCATCGATCAACATAATTTCGAAATCGAAGTCGCACAACCAATAATCAAGGGAATGTCATTTCGTGAGGAATTACCATTTAGGAATGTGAAATGGAGATTTACATCTGCAAGACACTGAGAGAAAATTGCTTCTGTGCATTTTTTCCCCGGCAATATCTCATTGGCATCAATTGATAAATTGTATCTGAAAACTCCCTTCTGCATTGCCCCACAGTTGATCCGCTATCTCGCGAGTGTCTCACGGAAAAGAGAGATAAATAATTTACTGGATGGCGAGATACTTGGCAATCAGACTCTTGATCTCTCTGCCCATGATTGCTTGAGTGAAGCGGAGGCGCGCTGCACAAAAAGGCCACAATGACATGAGGGCACTTCAATAGCTTTCACAGAGTCCACCTCCATAAACAGTGCATTCAATCCATTTACTGGCCCTCCCTCGCCCACTGAAAAACTACACACCACCCGCAAAATTAATTGCTCGACTTCGGGAGGAATTTGGGTGGATGCCAAAATATTCCACCGCCAAGTCTCGTTCCACCTCTCGCGACCGCCATCCTCCCACTTTCAAGCGTCGGGAGCAGAAAAATGCAGAAACATTTATGGAATTGTGACAAAGTTATGCAATGCAGTTGTATTTACTGGCGCGGGAAAGTTTAATAGTGTTTTCCTACCTCCTCATGCTCTCGCTGGTACTTCTCCCTCTTCCTCAGGGCGTCCTCCACTTTGAGTCGCTGGATTGTTTGCTCGAAGCCCAAATGCGTCCGCCCGTTCAATTGGAATTGTCGCATTCGATCTGTGGCGGGATTCTGTTGGGTGACAATCGCCCAAAATTAAATTAAACCCCCTCTTCTCTCTGCACTCTTTCATCGCCAAAATTCACTTACTCGTAGCTGGTGAATTGTGCCATTCTGCAGAGTGGCCTTTTCCCGCCTCTTCACCGTCTTCAGTCCTTTGAGGAGCCTCCCGAGAGTCATTTTCTTCTTCTTCTCAGCATTTTCTGTGCAAAAGACGATAGGATATGATGAGAAATGCTCAAAAGGCACTAAAAGTGTGGCAAGAGTTTGAATTTGCACTGAAGGTATTCAAAAAGATCAGCGTGAAATAATCTTGGTCTTAAATCTCTCTGCAATTGCGTTATACGCTGGAAAAACCCCATTTCATATCCAAGGAAAAATCGGAAAAACTCCGTAAACTCCTGCGCAGAATTTTTGGCGGCAAATGGGCTGTTTTTTCACCATCCCTCACACCGTTTCGCTATAGCTTTACGACTATGTGTGAATGGTGGGCTAACCTGATGGAGGTATATCACAATAGAGTTGGGCAGCTGTGTTGAGGGGCGTCGGGTTGCTGGTGCCGTAGATGGGCTGCGGCGCCTGGAGGTGCTGAGGCGAGTTGTTGTGAGAATTGAGTGGCCGTCGTGCCACTTTTTGAGCATAGACACCATAGCCGAACCCATAAATTTCGTCCTCCTCCTTATCCGATAGACAACTCGAAGGCTACACATAGGGATGTGGCGCAGAAATACAAGAAGCTGTAATTAGTGGTCGAGGGGATTCGCTTCATGGATTACACTTACAGAGTACTTCCCAGGCACGTAGATGGGCTGGCTGTGACTGTTGGGCAGGCCGCTGGAGCCGGGACTGCCCTGGTGGCCGCGTTTCATGCTGTTCCGCCGCGGACTGATGTTCGCCCATGCCGCCACTCGTTCGTTCTCCAGAGACACCAGAACCTCCTCAAAGGGCGCCCCCAGCAACTCACAGTACACCGATGCCAGTCCCTCCAAGTGACCCCGGCCGCCGTCCTGCGGGCGAGAGAAGAGAGAGAGAGAGAACTTCATTAGAGCCGCAGTGGCAGAATCAATTGGCACATCTTGGCCTGAAATTCCTAGGAGATGGAATGCGGCAAAACTTTCCAAACTCCCTTCGCACACACATTCGCCATTGATGGAGCAGAAACAGCTCCAGCAGGGGGTGAACTGACAGTAATTTTGTCAAATCTACACATTCACGCAGGGGTGAATTGCTGTGATGAAGTAATTTGGGCTTGTTTAATGTATGACCCGTCAAGTATGAGGCAAAATTGCTCATCTATTACATCAAATGTCGACAGGGAGACTAATTTCTGCCACATTCAGCAAATTTCTATTCGATATTGCATTAGAATCATTAAGCTGTAATATATCAATTCCATTTGGCTTTGCGGGCCAAATTTCAAAACCATGCCAAAACTCATGATGAGAGCGGCATTCTTTGCAATATTGCATACTTCTTAACCAATATGATTTTCCGCCCAAAAGCTCTCATGTTCAGTGAATGCGCCACACAAATATCCATTTCACAAGCGACTTATCGTTGACCAGCGCCAGCTGGAGTTGTGCATGTTTTGGGGAGCACAAAGAGAAAATCCGGAAACGATTTCTAATTTGTAGAATAACATTCCTGCTCTCAACATCGTATGCCCAATTGTTTGATGTGAACAAGGGAGCATTTCTGTGGGATACACACTGTATGGCTATGGCTTGTTCCGGAACGAATTATCAAATCCCAGCTTTTCCCATGCTTGAGCATTTCATCAATAACAACCACCGAATGTGTGAAAATCCGAGAAATTTTCCACCTCACAATTTTGGGTATTTCGCCAAACTAATTTCTCCGCAAGGACGAAACTCTGGATGGGGCGGAGTGACAACTTCCTTTCATTATTCAAATTAAACGTGCAGGGGCTCCGTCTACACTATCCATTATTTAGCCATGAAAACCCGGAACATCCTTCTCGCAAAGTGGCGAAGATTTTCACAAAATGGCTCTGGCTTGAGGAGCCACCCCGAGAAATCTTGGGCGGAATTCCATCCCGAGGGAGGAATGGCAGGTCTGTGAATGGGGGAAAAAGAGAAGATGTAACGCAATTAGTGCCACTCAGAATGAATTGCTTCTTTGCCGGTGAAACACTTCCTCTCATTGTTCGAAGACCCACACATGGCTCCGCAATTGGCAAGTTTTTGGTGAATGAGAAGACCAACTTTTCGGTGTGGATACATCACGGGGTATATGTGTAAATATTATTCTTAAATATTTATGAAATGTGGAACTGTTGAAGTGATTGATGTGGTTTTGAGTTTGCCCGGGTGAAAAACTTTCCAACTAGTTAAGAAAGTCATTTAACATGGAAACTTTGTGTTCTTCTATTAAATTAACCACTTTACAGAGATTAAGATTGCCGTTCATGAGTATTTATTTTGCGTAAATAAACGGAGACGACATGCTGAGGAACTTTATTTTCACACTTCAATTCGAGAGGACGAAGTTATCACTGCGTCGTGGCCTAGTTTCACCCACCAAAACTGTCTCTCAAAGTAATCATCACAGCCGATGATGCTAATTGTGTGAAAATGCCCGTGACGAGCAGAATCTGTGCAGGTGTTTCACGATGAAAAGTCGTGCTTTTGTGCGGAGCAGCAGACAATGTGTTAAATCAAGATAAATGCCAAATTGTAAGCACAATATTTTCTCCTCTCTATTTGATTTCATATTAAATGCGACACTGGTGAACGCCGAGAAAAACACTGCAATCTGTTGTATGGCATCGGGATGGAAAATGGTATTTTCTGTTGGAGGAGCATAAATTCAAGACAAACAAAAAAAATCCACCTCGTACAACTTTCATTCAATAACGACCCACTCTGGGGTGGAAATCAAAGGAAAATAGAGATGAATCGCAGCCCCATATAATCCCCTTGGCATAAAAGCCAGACCAGATACGAAAATGAGAAGGGAAGACGGACTAAGGAAAATTCTTGGCACAGCAATCATTCCTCGTTCTGTAAGAAAATGTTATGCACTCAGGAAAAAATGTAAATACATGCGATAAAATTTCTCAGTCAACAGAAGATCGTATTAAGCTGAGAAGTTAGAAGAAATCCGCTTAAAGATAATCCTTGTATAAATAGTTTTTCACTAACATTTTCGCAATTTCTCTTCATATATTATTACTGCTTTCACTCATTATGTCTCGAAAGCAAATTGAAGAAAAAGTTGAATCAATTAAAACCTCACCGCAGCATGAATTTCCCGAGTGTTGGATAATTCCTCGATAAGCGCGTTACAAAATAGGGGAATTCTTCGTCTGTGGAGTGCATTTTTTGCTACGGTTCGTTCCTTTGAGGCCGCCCGCTAATGGAGCAAATGGAGGGACTCGAGCGAGGGAATTCAAGGGTGGTCTGCGACAAAATTGCGTGCAAAAGACGCCCTCGTGTTGAGGCGACCACAAATGAATGCAGTAAGTTAGTTAGACTCATTCAAGTCTCCCCTAGGCAGCAGATAAGTTGTGTCACTCACCCGGCCGCCCTCCTTTGAGTTATCTCTCTGTTGCGTGTCCTACGTGAGATTTGGCGCACACAATGTGTGTGTTTTCCGCATTTTCTCCGCAAATTGCCCAGACGAATCCGGTGGCATTGAAGGGGAATCATTACGCACGAGAGTTGAAGGAATCTTGCTAAATTGCACTTTATATTCCCAGTCATTTCCACAAAGCGATGAGAGTGAATTCCTGCCACTGTGTTGTATGTGTGTGTGTGTATATAAATTAATTAATTCCGCACTTTTACTGAGGCCACGGAGAGACCATTTGGAGCAATATTGGGGATTTTGCATGAGACACGCCGAAAAGAATCCAATCGACACGCTTCCGAAGGCACGTTCCCATTGCAAAAGGATGTAAAAACATCTGAAGGAAAATAATTTTGCAGCAATAAAATTATTTACAGCGCCCGTAAATTCCCCGCTTCCGCCTTGCCCGCCCTAACTAATTTTGAAGCAATATCAAATGGAACATTTAATTTTACAATCACATTAAATTTGTACGTGGGCCGCGTGAAATCATCCGATTTTTTTTGCTAATCCCTTCAGACAATTCACCCTCTGGCATTCCATTTCATCTCGCGCCCGCACAATGCAAATTAAATTCCTGACATGAGGAGAGAGGGTTGAACAGCATTCTGTGAATTCCCTTTGATGATTGTGCAATGCAATTCAAATCAAAATTCATAAATAATGCCACATTTTACGCGCTTTCCGACAGCAACATTAAAACTGGGCGTTTTACGCAATGGCTCTGCAGCAGGTGTGCATGAGCTAAATGTGATATTATTGCGGAGCATTGGGTGCATAATTGACCAATAGTTAATGGAAATTACTAAAGAATGGCATGTGGTTTTTCCCTGACAAAGGACACTGAGTCTGGCTAACCCGCATAATGCCATGTGAATTTGCACTCCCCTTGGAGCTGAGTAAGGACATCCCAGAGCGAGGCAGCGCCGATGGTGCGACCGCCGAAGAGCAAACCTCCGGCGACCAGAGATGGTGTCCCACAGCACGTCCATCAGGCGACCAGGGTCATAAATTTCGTGTAAAAAATATGTATATGTCGGAGCTCGTAGCAGGAAACCACACATCCAGCTTGATTGCATGGCGCAAAGTCGCTTCCACTCCACATTTATCGCCAACCTCAATGGGATGTATGAATTACAAATAAAACGAAGGATGATGATCTCTGAATTTATGATAAGACGCTCCTCTAATCCACATAAATTGCCCCCATTTTCCCCTGAGTGGCCATAGCCAGAAGACACACTCACCGGCAGCATTTATTCAAATTCGTGGATCATTTTCTGTGACGAAGTGGAGAAAATCAATTTCCTCCTTTCACGCCTCAGAGAGGATGAAACACTTCTCTTGGTGAGTAATGTTGACTCCCCCCCAAAGGAGGAGAGGAGAAAAATGCGCGCGCTATCTCCCAAATCAACATTTATCACTAATTGTCTGGCTGCTCTTTTATTTCTTCGCGATGAATAAAGAATATTAATTGCTTTTAAATGTGTCTGAGACAGTTTGTTCGTGATAAATGGAATCGAATTTCACATTTTGTGTTGAGTAAATTTGCGCCTTCGTCGACAGAAAATATTAGTAGCATCTGCTTCACTTGAAGTCATTAGTCTGTCACTCGGGGACCAGAAGGAAAGGAAGGAGGAAGCAATGAGGATCCTCGCAATCACAGTCACTCATCTAAAAATGAATTTCAAATGGTGCTTAGCGGGGAAAACAGACAATTTTACTCAACACGGAGAAGATAAAGAAAGTGCTCTATCAAAGAGCCGTCAGAAGCCCTGAGACAGAGCACCGAATTAAATAATCAATAATTCTCTCAATTAGTACAAATGGAGTCTCACACGAGTGTCATGAACTGACTTGAAAGAAACCCATTTCAGGGCTTCTGTCATTCAGTCATTCACGGAATTGCATAGGACAGAGTTGATAAATTGTAGATTGAACTCTCTTAGGATATCGTGTACCACATACTTTGGCTTATTTCATCAATCATCCAAGCAGAAATTAATTAAATTAAGCTTAGGTGCTTTTGTTGAAACTTTCTTACAGGCAAACTGTATTATTTTTCAAAAACAATGCCCTTTTATGCGTCATAAAACTTTTCGGCTTTTTTTTTTACAAATGCACCCCTGGCAACTTTTTAGGTCGCCAAGTACGAATAATGCGGACGTGTGAAAAATGCCCAACAACCAGGGATAAAGTGAAATTGTGAATATGTGTAAAATGTTGAAAGAGAAGCAACATTCTTTGCAATATGTGCGGATGAAAAAAGAGGGACATCTGTACAATAGAGGCGCAGGGACACACAAAAGGACTGTCCCTAAACGAATTTGTTCAGTTAATTGGTCTGAAAATATTTCCAATATATCGCTCGCTAAAGGTGTACACAAAGCTCAAAGCCCAGCACAATCGATGGCATTTCAGTCAGCAAATTCCCTCTGAGGCGTCGCCTGTATGACGATTTACTTAGACACACGTGTCAGTAATTCGTTATCGCACGTGGGATGAGGCGGAATCCCCAGAATTTGCATGAATGAAATGGGGAGCCATAAATTTCTCTCTGGCACATCCGAACAAGCTTCCGCTCCTCAAGAGCGCCCCGAGACGTGTCCCATGGATGCAAACAAGTGTTGCAATCTATTATTTAATCACCCCCAGAGCCAGCGTAAGAACTCCATTTCGCCAAAGTCGCAGTGAGAGTGGCGCAATTTTATCCCAATTGTGACGCGGCGCGCTCAATTCACTCTTCATCCCATGGCATTTCTGGGGCCGAGCGCGTATCATTAAATGATTTCCCCCCCAACCGCTTCCGATCTCAATAGACGCGCCAATGTGAAAAAATCCAATTTTCTGCTGATGGGTTGACGGAATTAAATACACGTTCATGTCTCAAGTATTAAACATTCTCCGTACTTCATTCCCCCGAACGTCCCGTCAGACACGATGCCGTGTCAATGGCATCAGAGTCGAGAAGCTCCACAATATATTCAATTTATTTTTAAAAGCTCTCGCCGAGTGTTTGCACTTAAATCCGTCATTCATACAGCAATTTTTATCACTGCGACTTTCCCTCTTGTCGGCCCATGCTCTCGCATTTTCCGGCCAAGAGATTGGGCGCGAAGGAGAGCTCAAAGCCCCTATATTTATGGGTCGTGTGGATATTGAGGTGCGAAAAGGTCTCCTTGGCAGCTTATGTAAATGGCTTGGAGTGCCAAAAGAAGTCGAATATCACCGACGATAATTGAAAGGAATTCATCTTGACTGGATATTGATCCAGTGATTTAAAGAGTGACTGGGATTGAATAGCGGATCCCTTGCTGATATTTGAGATTATATATACTTTTGGGTGGGATGGAATTGGATACTGCCACTTTAGCCGGATCATAAAGCTAGCGCGGTGTATTTTTTTTTCCTCCTTACGGATTTCACGTGCACGAAGATGTCTCAATTCCATGTCTTCTCGTGCTCGGGGAAATCACAGGCCAAATCGTGCTCTGAGACGGATCTCATCAGAATGTTTTTCCGCCTCAGCGACCAAATGAGAGCTCTCGAAGCACACTTTCTCGCCATTCTCATTTGATAAATATCCCGAAAGTGATATAAATTCTCCTGCGGCGAGGGGGCGGAGGCGGGCAAATGGAATTGTTTCGCTGTGGATCACTGAATGATGGTTCACACTCATTTTGGAAACTGTGAAAGTCTCTGTCTGTGAAGCCCGGATAATCATTTGTCCACATTTACCATGGCAGGCCGAGAGAGCCCCCTTTGGTAGGCACAAAGAGATGCCTTATCGCCGATTCGTTGACCATTTGTGAATGATGACGGTGGCCTTTTCCACATTCCACGCCGACATTGGTTTCTGTCACTGGAACGGGGAACCCTTATCGGGTTCAATTTTCTCCGTCAGCCACATGAATGTACACGGGATAATTGTGGATGTCGAGGGGCCACCTTTCTGGTGGTCATAAAGAAGTCAATTTGGGAAGAGGAGACAAACCTAGCAATTATCGACTGATACAAATTTAAAAGGCAGCAGCAACAAGAGAAAAAACGACAACCCCAGTTCCGCTGTATCTGCCGAACAAACAGTCGAAACAATTTAATTTTATTCTCTTCACTTTGTTTATTCTTCGTGCTTCTGCCCCAGCCCACCGAACTCAAGTCCATGATACTGTGGATTGATGAGGTCGACCTTAATGGCTCTTCTGCCAACCACACAAATCCAAATGCGCAGCGGTGGAAAATTAAAATGCATTCCCAAAGTTATTTTTATGTGATTATGCTAATAGTGATGAGAGATTAATTCCCTCACATCCCAATTTCGACGTTGCATCCAAAGGTGCCTGCCACAAATGCATTTGCGTGTGAAAGTGCGCCCTTTTGGGCAATTTCATTCTAGAGCATCCTTATCTCGAGTGCTTCTAAGAAATTTACACTCAAGGAATTTCCGAGAATTCGGCCTTTGGCATGCCTTGTCACTCACCGAAGCACGCCTCAGGCCAACCACATAGTGATATCGACTACGCTCTTTCTTCGAGACGCTGTTGCGTGAAGTGTTTCGCGAGGAAATTAAATTGCCTCTCAGTTTGATTCGGAGAGCAAATCGACGGTGGCACAAGATCGCGATAAAAGTGTCATGCACAGAGACGACGCAGAGAGTCTTTGCATACCTGCAATGACGAGCCCCTCTAATCCTAATTATATCCGAGGGAAACCTTTCTCCTCTGTCGTCGCATGAGGTGAGAAAAGGGCAATCGATGCAATAATTCTGTATCATCTGCAATTTTCCCTGGGAGTGCCATGAACTACACCTTCCAGCGCACGCTGGAGCGACCTTCGGCTTGAGAAGAAGAAACACGGTGGCAACGACCGTTGAGCAATTCATTCCAATCGTGACGCCCCTGAATGTGGCTCCAGCTGCGGCATGTTTTCCATTTGTTTTTGTGGATTCTTTTTCGCTAAATTGATTACCTGGCCTGAGAGCCGCTCGCTTCCTGGTTCTCAGGGAGTGGAAAAGTTTCTCTTGCAACACTGAGAGCCTAACAAGTATTGAGTCATAACGAGTTCTAATGGATGCCTTCGGAGAAGCTTTTCAATCAATTTTATTTGATCGGTGATTTCGCCTCATGCAAATCGACTCAATAGACTTTGATCTGAGATGAAATATCTCTTGGGCTTCAAGTCCGATTGACTGGCAATCGATGTAATTTGTTCTCTTTGTTGGCAGCGCTTCTGGAGGGACAAAGACATTAGGTGTGGAAGAGGCATGAAGTGAACATTAAAATACGACATCTGATTTACCTTTGACACGATAATCTTGTTCGTTTATCGAGCATATTTTGCAATGTTTTCCGCCACTTGAACTCCTCTATATGTGTACATTTAAATGAATTGTCTATTTTCATCATCATCACACACTCGAAGGCATCGTGAGGATTAATCGACACCCGGGCAATGGGCATGAGAGCAGACAATTTTTCGAGATGGTTAGCCGTAAAAAGAAATGGTGGAATTAAATTTTCAGATAATCCCCCCTCAGAAGAGCCGGCAGACTCTTGGCAATGTGCCTTCGGGGCATGATATTACAATGATGTCCCATATTGTGCATAATGTTCTCCACGTAGAGCAATTGAATTTCGTCAGAGACTCACCGGTGTGGAATATGGATGTGAAGTCAATCGGATTGAGTCAGCGTTCAGCTGCTCGCGAACAAGGGATGCAATGTCATTGGGCGGTGGGGTGTCCCTGCCCTCGAGGATCTCCCTGCTGCCAGACAGCCCATTCGGTTCGCTGAGCACAAAGTACAGATTCGTGGCTCCCTTCTCGCGCAGCTGCCGGATCGACTTGAGTAGCTTGTGGCGATGATCCGTGATCTGCACGCCGATGGCATCGAGATCGGGATCGCCGATCTGCTTGCAGATCTCCAGGTCGTCGTACCCGTTATCGAGGAAGCCCTCGGAGTACTGGGACAGGCCCAGGGCCTTCAGCCACTCGCACACGATATTATTGGCAGCCATTGTTCCTGAGAGAGCACTTCAGATCCACTTCACTGAGGGTTCATGATCCGCACCCCACTGTTCACGAGACAAACACTTCACTACACATGCGATGGCGAGATCACATTTTACTTCTAGTCGATTAATCAACTTCCTGAGTGCCTTTTTTAATTACCAGCGAGGCAGGTGCAGCTCATCCAGCGCGCGGACCTGTGAGTCAGAGGAAAGGAGTTCAACGAGGGACGAAAAGAGGAAACCGAACTGAGAGGGTGGACGACCCTTCTGCCATTTGTCTTTCGCAGCCCAGGCCAGAGAATATCCACCAATTTTCATCGCCTCTGGGGAAATATCTCTCCTCTCTCTTCTGTCTCTTGTTACAAGATGTACCGAAAATGTAATAAAATGAAACTCAATCAAGCATCGAATTGTCGACAGTGACAAAGAACTTCACTTATTCAGCCCAAACAGGAGCATCTTGATTGCGTTTATTTATGATTCGTCCCCTCTGTTGTTGTGCAATAAAAATAAACAATAAATTTTTCGTATTATGAACTTTGTGCCTCAACTTCGCTATTCATGAAATTTCCACCCCTAGCCATATCACCTGCTCTCATCAGGAGCTTCTCTAGGAGACACTCGAGAGCCTCATCGTGGCCCTGAGAGTTTATGGTGTCTTCCGCAAAATTGAAACCCCCTTGCAGGGTGGCATCATTGTGGATTTCGCTCACGTGCGAAATGCGTTCGCAATGAGCCAACCCGGGGGGCGGAGGTGGGAAGGGTGGCCGGAGGAAATGAATTTATAGTCGATCCCTCTTGCTCATGTCACAGTGCAATTACACGGAATGGGGAAATTGCAGATTGAAGCCCAAAGATTTCCACACAACACAAGATCCGACCGCTTGTGTGTGTCTGTTGTGCTTAGGAAACTAACACACAATAGTTGGCACAGCATTGGATTTCTTTATGCTGCCATCCACCTCTGGTGTGTGGTGTTATTAGTTTACTTGTTCAGCAGCACGGAATGTGAGACACAAAGAAATTCTTGAGATGCAGGTATGAGCGCGAGAGGCAGGAAGGGTAGCCACATTCTTCAATGACCACTGATATCCTCTCTGTATCATTTCACCATTCAAAATCACTGCACAATGTCAATGAGGTCCGGCTCCAAGTCGACTCTCACTGGATTCGACACATTATTGACACACAATGTCTCTGCACAAAATCACTGGCCAGCAACTTTGGGCCCTGAGGACAGCGAAAGGGAGCGATATCGCAGAGCGTGTGACACTGAAGCCAAGCGCAGAAACAATCCGCCACAGTGTGTAAATGGCGTTCGTTCCGAGACTGAATCCACGATGATGGTTCATTGAAGAGCAACGTCGCGGTAGAGCTGGAAACCGGTTCTCTCTCTCTCTCTCTCTCTCTCTCTGCCCATCCCCTCAGTCCGCACCCTTGCAAGAACTGCTGCTGCTGCTGCTGCTCTCTGTATAATCCCCGCGATTGCAATTCCCAATTCGGCTCACCAACACCATCGCCGCTTCCAGAGCTCTCGCCTTCTCTCCATGAACCCGAGCGCAGTCGCTCGGTTCCAGCGCTCTCTCATGTGCTCTCGCGAGGAAGAGAGAGCGCCCAAAGAGGGGGAGAAGTTCAATTTCCAGCAAAACGTTCCAGCGGCTTTGGAAGACGAGGAGAAGCGTTGGAATGGAGTGTATTCTCCTGTGTGGAAACGAGGCAACGGCGCTGGAAAAGCATGGCACGTATGATACATATGCGAATTCCGGAGAATTACTCATTTGTTCAGATTAAAAGCTTCCGTCTCGTTTTCATATTAAATTCACTCCGGCGGAAGATATGATCCAATTGAGGGTTGCTCTGAAATACAGAATCTCTTCAGGCCAACGAATGTTTCTCGAGCACGCATAATAACATGGAAAAAATATATGAAATCCATAAAGCAGTAGTTCACCGACATGAAGCATTTGCAATTACGGCTAATAGTAAAGAGATCAATTGAGAAAAGGGCTGTATTTCTGCAAATTACTTATTTTATAGCTCGCATTTTGCTTGAATGAAGGTAAGAATGAACTGTTATGAAAAGCGTGTTGCAATAAAAACCAGAATTCTATGGCAAAAGTGTATTTTTCACAAGTCAGGAAAATGCGATCACATGCATAAGTCTCAGGACAGTTTGATGTTAATTCCTTGTTTTGAATTGAAGTTCTCCGCGTAAATTCTCTCTTTTACAATTTTTGCCTAGAATCTAACGTTGATTAATAAATTGTGTGGAGATCAATTTTCTCGATCTGGAAATTCTCCTTTAACTGCCTTTAACGCTGATTGACATAAACACCTTCACAAAGTTAATTTATGTAAGTGCAAAGCAAATCTGTGGCATAATCATTGATTACTATCATCTTGCAATTAAGAGTTATACAATAATATATGCATTTTAGCACCTTGTGCATGAGTTGGAAGTTTCCATCAATGGCGCATCAACTTTGACCACTTTCTTAGAGGAATTTCCTCAACTCTTGATAAATCACCTCGTCAGGTGTTGGGGTTCAGATCACGTACGTAATGGCGTAATATTTTAAGGAGAGAGACACTAGAATCCCAACTTTGTTCCATACCATCATGAGTAAATTGTGCAATTCCACTAGCGCTCGTCTCGAAATCCCCCGAAAAAAAAACCCCTGAATGATTTTTATGCTAGGCAGAAGTGCAATCATGATGAATTTTTAAAGCTCCTCATCGCAAATTCATTTCAGGCTATTAATAAAGTTAATCTCGCTTTCACGTAAAAATCAGCACAAGCTATAAAACATTGTAATGTCGGTAATTCCGGTGAAAGCCACAGGGTAGTCAATTAAATAGTTGAAATTCCATGTGCTAAACCCCTAGAATAGTGCATTTTGAGAATTGCATATCTTTGGCGAGTGAAATTTGGCGATCAATCGAATTCAGTGGTTGGAGTGTTCATTTTTTACTGGGAATTTATTGGCAATTTCACATGCACAAAACAACAGTAAATCGTGAGAGAATGTATTGGCGAATTCTCCGAATGCATGCATCAATTGGTTGACTTCCTGGAGAGTCTAGTGCGAAAAATACATTATCAACTCCCCTGTCCCGACGACTAGTTAGAGCGACAAATTTATGTGTGCTACAAATGCTCAACAATGGACCCATTTATTCGAAACTAACCAAAAACTCTCACGTAACACGAGTGACAAAAGGCAACTTTTCTCGTGGATGGCAAAGGTCGCCATTGTGAGGTCACGTACCACTTCAATTTCCGTTTTGCTCCCTTGGGATGCAGAGAAAGTCTTCAATCACGGCCACCATTCGTCAAACCTGTGGTTTAATTTGATGAATGGTTAGACGCTTCCTCACCCGCTACCTCCCCAAAAGGAAAAAGGGGTGCCCCGAATGTCCTCATTAATTCCATCTCGCCCAAAGTCACAGCCAAATGTTTCACTCTCTCTCACTCTTTGTTGAGGATATTCTAAGAAATATATCGCTTCTCAAACTGTCACTGCGAGTCATTATGGCTTCCTCCGCCCTCCCTCCCGCTGGCTGTTGCTGGTGAGATTAAAGCCAATTTCAAGCGAAGTGCAAATATTCCAGAAATTGCTACTATATTTCACTGTTTACACTTTAATACATAGTCTGTACGTGGGAATAATGGAAAATAAAAATTCACAATTAAGAGATAAAAACCAATATATATTTGCAAAATGAAAACGATTCGCGCAATACTGTATTTCGCATATGGATATAAATGAGTGATATTTGATCTCGATGAGCAATACTGACTGGGAGTTTGTCGAAATTCACAAATGGATGCTCACCGAAATTCACGCTGTTCCTACTTTCCAGCAAACTGGCAGACAAACACGAAGGCGGCACATATGAAAATAAATAGGAGCCACCTGCACGGGAAATTTAGATTTTGCACACTCTGGGAGAGCTGTGGAAGCTCTTAGGAAAATGGCATAATTTGAGTTTTCCTTCCCACACATGCCATAAGATTATGTTGGGAGACGATGCAGTGAGTATAATTAGTTGGCTCCATAGCGATTCTCCTCTCCAATCCCACGCAGTGGAGAATTCGGGAGTGGCAAAGTGTGGTGAGAGTGGCAATGGAGGTCTAATTAAAATTGAAGTACATGGAAAGAGCATCGATTGCATTTACACAGTGAATTGATATTCACTTCATTCATAAATCTTCATTAAAGTTCCAGCAAGAACAAAGGAATCACTGAGAAATTGTTGATTGAGTGCTCGAGATAGCAATGGAGCTGTTTTACGCCTTCGCTCAAGTGGCATTTCTTGTAGGACCCATTTTTGACTTTATTACTCATAGTTCGGAACTCAGTGAGTGCATGATGAATGACTCTCGATAGTTGAACAGTTGTGTAGATTAGAATACAAAGAAGCTATTTTATTAGCACTTGCAGAAGTGCACTAACAATGTTTGCGGAGAATAACGAAGCCACCTCTGTTATTGGGGTTTCGGGAGAAACTCTTGGAAAATGCACCTGAAACTTTTAACCTCATTTTGCATGCATGCTCAAAGACAAAAGTTTCACGAGTACAGGTGAATTTGCTGATAAACACCAATCACACGTCGCTCCGCGTGAGCTTAGGAGTTGCTCAGTGGAGGACTGATGAGGCACATGTTTCGAGAACGTACAAAGTACATGATTATTCACCGTGCACAAGCGCTAATTAAATTCTGGAGTGACTACATATAGTACACTCACCATTAAGACTGATCCGTCAAATGGTTGCTTCAAATTTCAAATTAAAGCAGCTGATTTAATTCCATCAGCACTTGTACATTAAGATGTTACGGCTGTGCCGAAAATATGGGGTTGGCGACACCAGCACATCAACCCTGCACTGGAACTGATCGTTTCACCATCTTTGATGCATTAATCATATCGCTTGAGGGAATTGATTTCCAATGCAATATTTGCCCTTTGAAACGTCTTCAGTGAGTCTCAGTATAAACTGCACTCTGATTGATGGTTCCTTAATTTGAAGGGTGGCAAAGAATGAAGCGACGAAAAACGGTGGGATAAAATTTCGAAATATAGCAATACAATAAATTGCTGCACTTTAGCCATTTTACAAATGGGTCCCACTTCCCCTGGAAGAACGTCTGTTTTCAGAAAATCATTTCACACCACATTGGCTTTAAAATATCGCCTGCATCGCTCTCCTGGCCATACGATGGGGCCATTGTTCGTGCTGAAGCATTGCCCAAATTTCCAGTCTGCAGAACTGCGCGCCCCTTGACATCTCAAAAGATATTTCTCAAAAGTTGCTTTGCCAATTTATCAAATGTTGAGTGATTAGAGAGCGAGCAAACACTACACACATGGGCGGGTGTGGAACTGGATGTGGAACAAGCAAGAGAAGTTTACGAGTAAACTCATTAATGCGCTTCGGCCTCAATTTATGGGGGTAAATAGTAAATTTCAGTGTGTACAAGAACATAGTAAGCTTCATTTAATTACTCAACAACTTTAATTGGATGCTGGGTGTATGTAAATTCAAATTATGCCCCACACCACCCCGATTGTCTCGGGGCGGGGGTGGCGGCAAGAAAAATCTCAGACGGAGCCCTCATTTTTCATCGTGGCAATTGCCACTCTCTCCTCTGTATTGAATATAATTGAGAGTTTTCCCCCAGAGGCTCTATTAGTGGCGTGGCCGAGAAAGACTCGACTAATGGACGTAATTACTGAACGCATTGATTTGCAATGAATCTCCTTGTATTTTCCCTCCACTCATTGAGTCATTATCCCGCTTTTGCATGACTCTTTCCGCTCTTGCCAGTCTCATTGCAATCAGCCAAAAGTTCTCATTGGATAACGAGGGGAGATCGAAGCACAGAGAGAGAGGATTTCCCATTAAAATACACCAAGAAATACACAAAATTTTAATATAATAACAATTATTGGAATTGAAGCTGCACTTTATAGTGCAGAAATCTCGTTAGAATTTACTATTGTGGATCTTTCTCTCTGCTATCTCACCAGCATCCTTCTGGCATTTCACGGAGAATAAATCACGAATAGTGTGGGTGGAGTTTCATACGATAATATCAGTTGGTGACCATATTGTTCCCCTTTTATCATCATCATGTCATGATTTAGAGGGAAATCTCAGTGAGGTACAAGAAAAATAATAAATTGTGTGCTCAATCAATAATCTTCATCGCTGGCTTGCGGAGCTTTTTTGTGTGCGCGGGAAAACCCACATTGAATGCGATTGCGGGACTCTCGTGGGAGAAGTTATGGTGGGTGGGCGTGAGTTAAGTTTTCGCAATTGACGACATTGACCCTGGCAGGGTGGTGACCTTCGCCATCGTCACTTTTACTGACACGTAATGATGGAGCAGTTCACCCTTGACAACAATGGAAAAATCAGTCTATTTGCCAGAGGCTTTTTGCTGGTGCTCTGGATATGTCTCAAGTCCCCGACGTGGTCTCAATGGGGCTCTCACCCCCGCCCAGCATTTCACAGCACCCCTTGTCGCTCCTGGAACATTCCCACACCACACTCGAGATTGCGGCTGGAAAATAAAAAGGCATAAAAAGAGATACTCCAAGCGACAAAGCCACATAATGTCGCACAATTTGCTTCATTGCAAATTCTGTCTCGTTCTGCAATTTATTTTAACTGCCTTCGCCGCACAAAAAGTTGGACAATCCAGCGTCACCCTATTGAAAGGTGAGTTGAGAGCAAACTTTTAATTGTGCCTAATTTTTCCTCCTGACGAGAGATGTGGTGTTTAATTTTGGACGAGGAAAAGACACACCATAATCATAGTTTGTCTCTGGAATATACCCAAGAATATACCCGGCATTTTCTATAAACAACCAAAATACACTCAGAGAACAATCCTTCTGTTGCTCGCCTCTTCCGTTCCGAATTTTTCACACACAAACTATGTAGAAGAATTTGTTTGAATATAAGATACCATAAATATCCTTGCAAACCTTGTTGCGGGCAGAACGTGAGATAAAAGTCATAAACAATCATATACGCGAGGGATGAGTGGAGGAAAATGTTGTGTTTTGCAGCGAACTAGTGTCATGTGAAAAAATAATAGCATTTCAGCAGGAATTTTTCCAAACGCGGACACAAGAACTGGGCGCCGTTATCCCAGAGGCATTATTTTTCCGTTTCACTTCGCGTGAAAATTACAGATAAGACCCCGGGTATCGTATTGCATTGTGCTCCTTGTGGCAGGACACACGGAGGACTGCGCCCTTGCGAAATAGTGTTTTGGGCGCTGGAGTCGCGGGTGAGGGGCGTCTGCACCGCATAAATCATTTTGAACGGAGGTAGTTGTCGACGATACACCTTCCTTGGTGGCCGAGGGGTGGGTTTATGTGTGTGAGAAGCTTACATGATGCCACCGTGTTGAACGTGGTAATTGAAAAATGTGTAGGAGGAATACCACGAGATACATCATTTGACCAGGCGGCTCCATTAACTGTAACCGCAGCGGAATAACAGGAGTTCCTTGCCACATTTCAGGGTCGAAATTGCTCTCAAGGCATCGCAGGGAGTGGGAAAATTACACCAACTTCAAGAGCGCTTGTTTCACGACCATTCATAGCTGTGAATGTTCACTTGATTTACATCGGAATGGAAAAAATGTATGTAATTTTTGGCAATATTCATGTGAAAATTATATTAAATTATACTTCCACTGCAATTACTTCACTCGACTATCGGTAAATAATTTCAAAGTGAAGTGATAAAAAATTCTGATAAATGTTCAATGATTGGGACTTGGTAAATTGAAACGTTGAAATGCATTATATGTATTTTGGTGTGAATTTTCTGGCAATTGAAAAAGAGTATTTCTGTTTTACACATATATTATGTATTTATTTGCTCTCATTATTTGTATATCGATTTTTAAATTTTGCCTGAGCATGTTTTAAACTTCACACCATGTGCAATTGTCTGTGTTAAGGGGATGTTTTTGGTGGAAAACCATTTTGACACTCGCCAGAGAGAAAATGATTGAGAAAAAATCAGACTGGTGATAAATTCAGCATTGTTTGCATGTGTTTTTTATGTTGATGTGTGGCATTAAATTTTCATAATTATTTCCCGCATGCGGATTCGGCGGGTGGCCATTGGTGGGCGTTGAGGCGTAGGCTGTTGAAACCGGAGGGGTTGAGCTCGATATATGTGCACTCAAAAATGCATTTAACTGTGCATAGGGAATGAGAAGCTGTTTCGGCTGGAAAAGTGAGGTGAATTACATCGTAAATTGAAGGCAACTTTCTGTCCATCAAAATGTAACAAACTCCTGAAGAACCCACAACGGCCACAAGCAGAAGCTCCTGACTTATTTATTATGTTATACACTCCACAAGTAGATGGGCGGTGCGGTGAAGGGGGTGGGATGAGTCCCACTCCTGGAAACTTTGATGAAGCTCGAGAGGATGGAGAGGGTCTTCTTCTCTAATTTCCGGTCTCGACTGGGTAATTATGAAATCACAAGTCCATTCTCTCCAGGCATTTTGAATGATCCTCTCGACACTGGGACGAGGGGAAATTAATTGGATTTTTTTCACTCGGCAAACTGACGAAAATTGAGCAAACACGAGGGCCAAATTGCACACAAGCCCACGCCATCATCTCGGCATACATCTTAAGAGGTGTCTGCAATTTTTATCCATGCCCACTCTCGAGCGGATTTGCGGATATGCCCAGCTATTGCACATATAAAACATACCGTGAGCACTTGATGAGGTTCAAACAACAGCAATTTATTTTGCATGTACACAGTCCACTATCCCATGCACAAGTGTTTACCACAGGCATACACTGGGCTGCATTAAATTTCAGCAGATGTCAGATTTTCCAGTTTAACGAACAATTAAAAATTGAAAGACCTCCTCGGTCTCCCCGCGCCCGAACACGCCCCAACAGTATTTGTGTATGGGGTGCATTATTTGTAGCGTCTGCATGCGAAAATATGTGCAGTGTTTATTGGCCCGACTGATTGCAAAACCATTCGCAGATATTTCGGTATATGTTTAATACAATGTACATATGCTTCAAAGCAAATACCAATTTCAACCCTAATATTTATATGACGCCGCCCCGGCAAAAAAATTAGGCTTGATCACAGGGAATTCCTCCGCTGAAATGCATAAATTACGCTTGTGGGCTTTGGGGAAATTTATGCAATTATTTTCGCAACACTTTTTTTCTCGGGTGAAGCAAAATTTGCATGGATTTTAGTTGAATGCACGCTCTCGCATTAGAATCAAGGGAATGTTGCACATAATGTTGTGTGTGTGAATGGTACGCATTCAAAGTTAATTGAAATTACTAGTTAAAGTGGCAATTTGTATGATAGGGGAGTTATGTGGACGCCATAATGCGTTCTTGGGGAAATTTCAAAACTCCACGGGAAAGTCCATCAGACAAGGGTTAACACTCTATAAAGTTTACAGATAATTTTTTCGTCATGTCCATTGCGAACCTCCCAAACTACACCATAGAATTGCATTATTTATTATATTCGGGTATGTGATTTATGTGCTCGGTCTCCCACCAGCATCGATCATGTGTGGCGCAAATGAGAGCGACAGAAGGTCCGTCGGGGGAGGTTTTGGGGGCCCGCGGGTGGATTTTGTAATGGAGCCACCCAATTATTATTGGACAGTGTGAAATGAGTAAGAAAAATGAATGGCGGGCGGACGTTGTGGGGTTGGACGGGGGTCGTCTGGATGCCGTGCTGGGGCGTTTCGTGACACATCTAATGGATTCAGTTGATCAGACTTGTTACACATGAATGTGAATTTCATTAATGGAAATTTAATTCAATGACGATTATTCAGTGGCTCAGGAGAAGAGTATTTGTGGGGGTAATTTGGAGCAAAATTCCAATTCAATCTTGTGCTCATTTACAAAATGGACGGGAAAAAAACAAAAGAGTTTCGTGAAGTGGAAAATAAATGACTTTTTCCTCTTCACTCACTCTCTCAGAATTTGATCATTATCTCATGATTGAGTTGTTCCTCGGGGAGGGCATTTGAGATTGGAAATGGCATAGATTGGGTGTCACTCAAAATCACGACTATTTGGTGATCTCTCTAAACCAATTTGTCATTTGAGAAACATCAAATCATTTATTTAATTTCTCACTGGCGTAACTTTTATCTGCAACTTTCCCGATGCCATCTAACATTCAGAAGGTCCATAAGAAACTTTTCCTTGTAACATTGCAAGGAGGGGTCATTATGTCTTCGGGGCAGTTCTGGGATTGCGTTTCATTATCAGCATGGAAGTGTCTAATGAAACAGCAGAGCAGAAGATAAATTGAGTGTTGTGAAATAACTTTGGCTACTGTCTGGTGGTTTAAGTTAAGATCTCGTCGTCTTCTCTGTCTCAATGAATATTTGAACTCTTTATTGCTGTGCGGGTAAAACAATGAATAACTGTGCAAATACGCAGAGTGAATTTACTGACTCTGGTTTAGAACTTCTGCGATATACTCGCGGATTTTACCACGAGCAGCTTTTAGTTCAGGTAAATCGTCATCTCGAGGTTCGAACATATCGGCGCAGTGCGCGGCGCCCTTTATGAAAACGGTTTGATATCCGGAATCCGTGGATTCTGTCAAGCCAAGCGGATGCCAAGGATCTTCGCTGCCTTGAATGTAGATCGTGTTTGTAGATTTGATGTCAAATCCACCGTAAATGACGTCGTCATTGTAGATGTTCTTCTCAATGCTAGCCTGTTTGAAGCGCTCGCCGAAGACATCACTGCACTGCTTCAAGAAAAAGTCAAGCTGGAAGTGATTTCCGAAGACATATGAAGCGTTGTTGGAGGTCTGGAAGTAGCCGAACTCTTTGCAGAGCAAGAAGAACCACGTTAGTTCTGAAAGACAAAAGTCCATGTTAAAACACATGAGTTATAAAGTGATAGGTTGAGGTTCTCACTTCCGCTGACGACTGCCGGTGCATCCCATGAATTTACTTTGAGTTGCTCAATCATATTATCGTATTTGTAGTCCAGGCATTTACTGTCGTCTTCCTCCAGGAAAATCTTGTTTATTCCAGCCAATCTGTCTAGAGGTGAACCTTTATTTTCATCATTCATGATACTGCAGATTTCCTTGACGCTGTGTTTAGCGTAGGGCAAGCCATTAGACTGGACAACGCTTGCGAAAATGCTAGCCATGATATCGAATAAGTTAGACTTATCCAGATCAGTGGGAGTCTCAATAGGATCACAAAGTTGGAAGAGTTCTTCCAAATGCTTTGGACTGGTGGTCAATTGATTTTCCAGTTCACTGAAAGCTTCTTTAACACTCATTCGGCAGTCTAGAATGGAATTCGCAACCACATCGTAGTATTCTCTGAAGTCCAACTTTCCTATGACAGCTCCACTCGAACTGACAGCTCCATGAGCCAAATGGGGAAACTTGATTCGCGTCCAAGCCGCCAAGGAGCCAGAATATCCTCCACCGAAGATTATCCAGCGATTCTTTGATGTCAGATTGTACTTCTTCTTCATTTCCGTGATGAAAATTGCCACATCCGTAACGTCAATCTCTGAGGAGGAAAACACATAATTGTCAGATGGTGATCTGATGTTGGGATGACTCTTGCCGAAGAATCGTTGCTCCAGCTGGATGCAGAGAGCTCCGAACTCCTTGGCGTAGTTTAACCAGGCGCCCTCGATCATCCATCTGGGATTAGCAGTTCCTAGAATAATAAATTTATTCCACATTAAGAACTTGACGTCAATTTGTGTCAATTGCTAAAGTGGAACAACAGGCAATTTTTCACTTACCCTCTCTGCCAATGAGCAGAAACACCGGACCATCTTGTGCTTTGAAGTATTCAGAATTGGTGAAGTATCGCTATAAATAGAACGCAATAGTCAAAACAAGGCATCTTTACTGATATGTCTGATCATTACCTGCTGGAAGGTGTCCAGATCTATTGGACTGTATGGATCCGTTTGTTGCTCAAACCACTGCTCTTCTGGCAGACTCTTGCCAGGTGGAAGAGTCAGAGTGTCTCCATGAAACTCATCGAGAATTCTGCCTCTCCAGAAAGATCTTGTGGCGAGAGAGATGCTGAAAGTGCACAAGAGCAGAAAAACACGCACATTCGCCATGATTAACTCCGGCAAACTGACACATTTTTTCTCAGTCCGATCTTATCGAGTGCCTGTGTCCAGAGATCGCGTCGGGGGAAGGTCACAGATCAAGGTGAATCGGCGAATTTGAAAAAGAGACCGAGAAAAGGCGTAGACAATAAAATCTACACAGAGAGAAACAGAGTGCTTCAGACAAGCTCCAGGTTGTGCTCTGGGGAGAACAGTGGCTATTATATTTAGCAAATTACACGAAATGGCACCGCTAACTGGCCAGCGTGTTAACTAATTGAAGTAATATTGCTGCTTCTCCATAACTATCATCCAAATGGTGTTATGCATAATGATCCCCTACCTTTATACAAATTAATGCTCGTAATTTCTGGAATTAGTCCCATGCTTAACAGCATTTACATGATGTTGCGCGCTTATTAGAATTTATGTATTTGCACTGCATAATCAGACAGTTCAGTCCTTTTTTCCATTACCCAACACTCATATTTAGCCACAAAGCGATGGAAATTCATTTCATCGGATATTCAATAAACTATTTATTCGCATATGATGAATCCAAAGTAAAAATGAAATCATCAATTCCATTTACATTTGGCATGCACAAAAGTTTGAGTGCAGAGAAGTTGAAAAATACGTATTTGCCGTGGTGCGAAATAACAATAAATCATTCCTGTATGGCAATTAATTAAAATTGAGAAAATTTCCGCTCAACTTCATCGTAATTGGTAGGAAATTCATAATTTAATTAAAATTTTGCGACGAGTGAAAAATTGGTCTCGCACCCCCTTTTTCCAATCGCACAACACGGGAAAATTTTTCCGGTGAAATGGGGATTGTACAGTTCATTTTGCCAAAAGTGTTATAAATGGATGTCCACGTGATGGCTGGGTGGGCAAATTAAATTGAAGTATGGGGAAAATAATTGTGGATATGGCACATGGAGTGGACAACTCTCCATGCATTCAGGACAAGTCCAATTAGTAAAATTATATGGAGCTCTTCACGTCAATTTCGAGCCACTTTAATCACTCATCGTGAGAAATGATTATGAAATTTGTAATTCACACATAACTGGGCATTGTGAGCTGTGCCAATGTGAATGGGGACGCCTGGTGAGAATTGAGTGAGCTTGGAAAGCTCCGCTAAGCCAAGCGGGATTGTGAGCAGAAGCGTCCGGAGGAGTCCTGAAGGGAAATTCACACATACACACACACTCCTATTCCATTTGATGGGAAGTTCACATAGATTCGCAGCAGTGTAGAGTGATCGCTGAAGTACAGGCTATTCGTTTGAGTAGCGAGCATTAATTAAGGATTAATTAATTGGGCATTTTTCGCACTTGCGCTCACAATTGTTGTCTCTTTTGGCACATAAAGGTTAAATTCAATTAAACGAAATGAATGAAATCGAAAATTCAGTTTAATTAACTTTGAAATGTACTCTTCGTACATTAAGTAATGAATTAAAAGGTTCATCGTGAAAATGGTCACAATGGATTTCGGAATGCCATTGATCAATTTAAGATGAAATTGATATCAGCCCTGAAGAATGCGATTGGCGCACATCGCGGACTATTGAAGGTGAGAGAGAGAGAGAGTGAGAGAAGTGGCGAGAATAATTCAACTGCACATGCTGGTGGATTGGATGCACGAATATGGTCACATGATGGATGACGGTCAAGTGGATGTGGGCGACGAGCTGGGATGGAAATGGAAACCGCATTACTGATTGAAATTTTATTGTGGATGACGTTTGGACACTTTTCAAAAATTTCCACATGCCACACACACAAATTTATGTAATTTGTGCCACAGTAGACAAATTATTTTAATGGCAGGAGCGGTCCATTCCACTGATGATGATGGCAAGAGCGCGCGGTTGTGACTCCACCATTGGCTTTTTGTTGCTCCTCCGACAGTGCATTTCGCCAGTGTGTCCCTCTTTTTGCTCGCGGGGCTGCGCCACGATGTGCAGCACCACCAGCAACCCCACCGACAATGAGACACTCTCGGCAGTGTACACACAATCGCTTGCAATTAAAGTTGTGTGCTCGCCCTAGAAGTGCAGTCGCACAAATTTGATAATTTCAATGAAATTTGATTCACTCTTTTCCACACATACACACACATCTCCAATTTTCAGCGCGTAATGTGCCCGACAGCTGGATTAAATCTCTGACAATTTCACGCTCCAGTAATGAGAGTCATCTCTAGCATCTCCATCAACAGTTTGAGCCACCCAAGCGTTGCCCCCGCAGTTGGTTTTTGGTATAAAATGCCAAAGGAGCTGTGGCGCTCTTGCACTTGGGCACAGAGTCTTCGAGTCGCAAGTAATGATCACGTGTGTGAAATTGTGAATTTTCAAGTGGTTGCGGGAGATGACGTTCTCGAAATTGTTCGCCGGGAGTGCGGATGGGAATGACACGACATTGACAGCGGTGAATAGCAATTTGGGTCCAATTGATCGCTTCTTCCGGACCCATTATCACCATCACTCCCCTCATCAATTCTTTCCGCATCAGCCGCCACCACGGCATTCATCCTTCGACCCGGGCAACTCACATCACGCCCCCAATCATGATTACTCAGGTGGAGCTCTCTATCATCCTGGAATCTATGGCATGTATGGCTGGCATTTTTCAACGAAATTCACTGTGAAAAAATGTAAAGTGTCGGGAAATTGATGACAATTTGAAGTTTAACTTAATTAGATCTGCTTTAAGACCTGACACGCTAGCTTTTCATTTCAATCCTTCATTATAGTACCAACAGGAGGAGCATCCTCATGAAATTTTCATCAAATTTCCACACATTCGTCCCCACGAGGACGCATAATGAGACCATCGGGTCCCCTATATTATGCAATATATTTGTCTAACTGAACTGCCATCAATCACCCATAATTGGCTGGTATTGAAAATCACTTAGAGACTCTATATTCTGTCCAGGTACGGTCCCCATCAGCAGTTCGGCCTGAAACTGGGTCACGGCGGCTATGACGACAGCTATTCATATGGGTGAGGCCTTATTGCAATTTCCAATTTGTGCGAAAACTGAATTTTCCGCATTTTTCCACCTCGGCCACACATTCCAGGACGAGTGGAGGCCACATGTACTACGATCACGGGCCGCACTACTCCGGACGAAAGAGTGGCAAAGGCAGCGGAGCCTTGTCCGCCCTCACACTGCTGGCATTCCTGTTCTTCCTCAACCTGCTCCAGAGCTGCCTCAAGGAGCACATGGACACCATGAATCCCACGGTGATGGTCATGACCGCGGGTTCGGGTCGGGAGCAAATGGAGAAGGTCTTAGATGTGGAAGAGGAGCGAGGGATGCAGGGAAATGCAACAAATGTGAAAGAATTCAGTTTGCGAGAGCACTTTATTGAGCTTCCGAAGCTCTACAAACTCGGGGAGAATGCATCAAAGGTGAATGTGTATCTTAAAGATTACTCTGCGGGGGGTTAGAATAAATAGATTCACAAATATACCCATAATCTCTCATCTAAACCAGTAGCAACTCTCTCTCTTTCTCCTCTTCAGGTCCAATTAGAATTCATCTGACAGCAATAAAAGCAATTTGTGGTCTAATAACTTCACACTGCATAATGACGATGGAGTTATGACTATTATTATTGTTTCTTGCGTTGGGAGCTATATTTAAATTGTCACACCTTTCCTTCTACTAATTGAATGGTCCCACCGTGTGCATTTTATGACGGTGAAATGCTTCCAAATGATAATTTAGTGGAAAAGTTTGAGTGTCAGAAAATCGTGAATTCACTCCCAGACCGGCGGCGCTAAGAAGCAGAATGTTTTAATGAAGTTTCCTACACTGCGAGTAGTTCCACTCCCTGTTAGTTGGCGGCAAAAATTTTCGTTAGTTCATTCACCTCGTCTCCAGTGTTCACACACTTGTGGGATGACGAGAGAAAAAAGCTCATCCGGGGCAAAGACCGCTCAACAGGACTTTCCGGTGGAAATTTCTCTCCTATCCTTCATTCTCTCTCTTCTTCTATACCCAGAATGTGACGCGAGATGATGTGGAGAGCAAAAAAAAAAGTTGAGACTTCTTCAGGCATCAGGAATTATTCAAAATACGCCTTCATGTGGAGAAGAGCTTCTCCAGGTGGGGATGAATTTTGAGCTTTTTGACAAAATCTCAGCCGCACAACAAAAGACGTGTTTAAAGCTTTGAAAGTTCCCTGGTATTCATCACATCTTCAGCCGCACTTAAATACGGTAATTATTCTTTTGCCAGACGCCCTCGTCGATGTGGTGAACCCCAAAGACACGAAGAAGTGAATGAACCATTGAATGAGCGCGCAGAGGAAGTAATTTGGCAACTTTTAAAGGGCGCACGAAAAAAGTATAATATTTTGCATCAAAACCACTTCTCTCTCCATCGCGCAAAAACCGTGAGTTCTTTCCAAATTGTACAAGTGTTTTTAAGACGAACCAAACTTGTGGCTTCTTGCATGATTGTTGGTGGTGATTTTGAGTATTTGAAAGCATTGGAATTCAGCAAAGAGGGAACTTTTTCGTTTAATCTCAATATTCCCTATAGCTGTCTGAATGCTTCCTTTCATTCATGTTTCCTACGTAAGACTTGCCACTTGGCAACTATTTTAACTTTTTCCACTCGTCGTCGTGAAACCCCCGTGCTTTGGAACTTTATTCTTTGGCTGTAGCTTTGAAAAGCAATTTTGTTAAGCTCATATCACTTTTCATTTCTCTCATCGTGCAGGAGATACGACTTTTCTCTGCGAGAATGCGAAACTTCAAGTACCCTGTTATCATTGCATTTTTTTCACGTCAATTTGTGCACACACGTAGAGAAGAGTTTGCATGAAGCATGACAATACTGAGGAAAAATCTGCAGGACATTCTACAAATGTTTTGTGGAGGATTTGTGGGTTTGCTGTGATGTGAGAGTGTTTGGTCAAATGCTTTGACTAGAGGTGTGAATTTGCTGCACTCACTCAAATCAGTTCAGGACAATTACCCACGGCTTATCGTTTATATTTACCAACATTTCCGCTCAGTGATTGAGGTAAGATAAAAAGTTTTCTGCCCTATTTCTTACCATGTTCCACTTCTTCGTCACTCCAGTTGCAGGCAGACTCTCGCATATCAGCAAAATTTACTTCACATCAACGACATTTTCACACAAAATCTCCCAAGCACATCTCTCGATGCATTACACTTTGAACAGTTGGTTTACATAAATATATACACGATCGTGTGTGGGAGTATTTGAATTTATTCAGAAAGTTGCGGCAAATGAAATTCTCTCTTCTGCGCAAACCCAACTTTGCCGTACGTTGGAATTGACAAAAGAACCAAGTGTATTGCATTTTTTTTCCTATATAGTTTTCCTCGTCCAACTCTGCATTTCCTCGCCTCTTCATTGAGTTTGCAACAATTTCCCGTTTGGAGTGGAGTTTCACATGTTTCCAATGTGCCATCACCATCAAATTGACACGATAAAGAATGAGAATTTCACAAGTTCCACTCCAACATTTTGCCACCTGAGATTTTCATTTCTCTGGCACACTGACTCAATATTCCTCAATTTGGATGAAATATTGGGACAGGGTTGGTCGATAAAAATAAAAATCACATTTTCCATTTAAAGTCCCTGTCTCTCACTTTCCACCCATCCGAAGTGTCCGATGCATTGTGATATGTCCAAAATTAATCCACAATCAGTTCACTGCGCTATTGTTTCCGTGCTGTCGTCCACTTTGGGCGACACGTCAGATAGTTGAGTGGGTGAAAATCCATAGAATGCTATCGCTTGATATTCCATTTATTCATTTTATCCCCATGAAAACTCAGACAAGCTGTATCAATGGCGGAAAAAAATGGTGTCAGAAACAGTTTCCTGTCAAGATTCATTTCAGCCAGTCTTGCCATTTATCAGCAGCATATTATATTCCTTTGATTAGCGAAGTTCCTGCAATTTGTACATCTCAGTTGCGTGAGTAAATAATATGAAATGATTCCAATTAGGCCGTCTTCTAGAGGCATAATAAAATTGGAGACGAAGAAAGGGACTTCTTCATCTAATTAGGAGTTTCAGCTTTATTTTATACTCGTCAAATCCGCAACGCCGTTTCAGATTTATTATCAGTATCATTGCGAATATTAATATACATATACTCTCTTTCGTTTTTCAGCAATATAATTTTCAACTTGATACTCAGATCTCTCCTCAAACCACCAATTATTCATTGTGGTGTCAAATTTAGTGGGTGGGAAACATCAAAGACAGACTGAGAAAATTATATCGGCAATAAAATTAATTTTCAGTAAATAAATGGTGCGAATTCGAGGATGGATAAAAATACCGTAAACATAATACCTCTCATGTGGGGTGGAATTTCCCATCGCATATGATGTGGGGGGAAAGTGGAATGTCTTATGCACAGTATCGCTGTGATCATTTTGCAAGAGAATCAATTTGATAGAGAATTTCGGCTATTAAAGTGTTTCGTTTCAGTGGCAAATACAGTGTGAGGGGTACTTTATTGTTCAAAAGAAGGGAAGCCGTATACCGGGGAATGAAATAAAATCATCAAAGGAATTCATTACTTTATGTACTCTCCGTCTCGCACATACGCTATGTACAGCAGCACCACCCATCATCGATGGCAATTCAAATAAATGTTATTCACAGTTCATTTGCCATCTGCCGACGGAGGAATGTTCCCGGCCCTCGTCTGAGACACTCTGGCAGAGCATCTCGCAAGTATTTTCCCCATTTGGCTCCCCCCTCCCGGAAAATTGCACTTGAGGAGCACAAGGAAGATTGATTGAGTGCATTGATGTGAGAATTCCAACGAAAATGAAAGTATCAACCGCATCGTCGGGGAAAATGGAGGGAATGCTATAGAAATCTCTGCGACATTCCCGCCGCCACCTTCCACAACGGAGGGGCAAATACCTTGAGGCCATCTCCTCATGATACATGTATTCATGGGTAATTGCCCTAATTTGGAACAATACTCAGCCAAAATGGCACTTAACGAAAACATTTGTCTTCGCAAATGCCGCTTGCGGAGTTCAAAAGGAACCCCACAGCCCGAGGCGGGGCTTTGGGGAGATAATTCTTGCCTCAACAAGTCCAAACTAAACAATTTTTAATATTCCAGAAATTGATGTGTATTGTTTGACAATACACGGTATATTCTTTGAAAGGTTCTGCAAGAGGCATTAAGACCATGCGAAGTTCGAGTCATTTTCTTCGGAAGCTCTATAAATCAAAAGCCAGAGCGTCGTACGCGATCTTATGGAAGAAGTTCGGAACAACTTTAAAATAATCTTGCTTTTCTCTGCGGGTGTTCTTTTGACATCATTTAAACTACAGCAAAATTATGTTACATATCGAAGACACAAAGTTGCAGAAGCAGAAGAGACCTCACTTAAATGCCGGGACAGTTGAGAGAAAAAGGAGAGCAAAAAGGACTGTGCAGAGAAAATGAACTTGAGATTGCAAGTGTACTATTGAACTTTAACGTGTAATAAAAGTTTCCCATTGGAGAAATTCGACTTTTTTCTGTAAGCCAGCGAGAGAGCGATGGAAAAAATCCACCAACCGCGAACTCAACATAAACACTCAACTATTTAACGGAGAGTTGTGCTGAAGGGGGTCTCTGTCTGGTGAGGAAGCTTTGTTCTAGCTCTATCCCCAGCACATTCACATGACGTCGAAAGAAATAAACTTTTCTTTTAATCCCTCACTCTTTCACTGACTTGTTCATGTGCAAAAAGTTTTTCACTTTGCCTCAATGAGTGAGTTGCCGAATCATTTTGACTCCGGCGGCTCTTGTGGCTTCCCGGGTGGAGGAGTGGGTGGCAAAAGGAAGTGGCCAAATGGCAAAAGAGGTGAAAGATGAGAGTGACAATTGAAATGACTCGGGACTTTTTCTTCCTATTGAAAGTGTTTTAAAACAATTTAAATTGCAAGTCAAAACAGCACAAAAGACGGCAACTTTTAAAAGCTTCTCTCACCACTTTATCGCCATTCCTTGTCCGCAAAGTGGTCGAAAAGAGGTGAAAGAGAAGGTGAATTTGGGCGACCATTAAGAGAGTTTTAACCGAGGGTTGATAAGGCCGCTCTCCATGCCCGAAAGAATATAATGATTAAGCGGCGTGAGTAAGTGCACTAAATTAATTAAAGGCGAAGACAGACGGTTATCTGCAAATAGAATTTCTGATTTAAAGTTGGCACAACTCTCTTTTTTCTACCGTATTTAATTACAGTGTGAAAGTTAATGTTAATTAATGTAATTAAACTTTCTCACAATCTCATTGCGGATAGGGAGAGGATTTCATATGACTCCCAGTGAAGCCATCATGCAAGAAGGAGTGTAAATGCCAACGTCAAAAGGAAGAAAGTTAAATTGTTCAATAAAAGCATCTAGAGTGGCTCGATCTTTCGCATTCACGGCACGTTTGAGACG